CTGAGGTGTACAAGTGGTCATAAAATGAGCGATACACAAGGGACAGCATTTCAAGGAACAAATCAGAAAATTGTAGGAAATAACACCAGTAAGATGGTCATCATTTTTAAAGAAACCAAATCAGGAATTGCACACACACTGACCAATCCGAGATTGGTCATGTACTGTTCATGCATTGGCATGTCAATTAGAATTCAGGATGCCTCTGATTATGCACAGGGACTAGTGGCTTGCAAGGGTCAATAGGCAGCGCCTTTCAGCCATTTGGTGCACAATAATAAGACTGAAGACAGAAGGAAAATAATAGTCAACAGAACAGAAAAAGAGACATGCGCAGCCGGCCAGAAATAGCAAGTTGGTATTCAGTGTGAGTCAACTGAATCTGCTGTTTTTATTGAGTATCATTTTTTGTAGTTATCACGATAAATTTGATAAATTCTGTGAAACTTGTGAAAGCATACGTGTGCCTGGAATGATCCTGTAAAGACTAGTATACATTTAGATTTGCACTCTCAACTCAGTCTCTCGATGTAATTGACTTAAGTCTTGCAGTTAAAGTTAAATTAAAACCCACACCTTAGACACACAGATACACAGACAACAAAAAAGTGCACACACATTGCCATTATCGAACGGTATTCCATATTATTTTTATTTATTCCTTTTACTGTTGTTTAAACAGATTGTAAGCCAGGGTTATAAAAACAAGACTTGCATTAATAGAGCAACATTCTCTACTTTTGGACATCTCAAATTACTTTACAGCCAATTAAATATTTTTTGAAATGTAATCACTGTTGCAATGCAGGAAACAGGGCAGCAATTTTGAACACTGCAAGCTCCCACAAACAGCAATATGACAATTTTATTGACTGAGGGATGAAAAATGACCAAGATACTGTGGATAACTTGCCCATTTTTGCTTAAAACAGTGTCATGGGATCTTTTACATCTACCTGAGAGAAAAGACATTGTGAAGAAGGTTTACTTTTTATGGGGATCTGAGTTCTAAAGTAGGGATAAATGTGTTTTTGGTTTTCAGCTCTGTGAAAGTGACTTTTTTAAAAAAAGGTCAGAAGCTTAATTTTTAGCTGTGAATTAAGACGGCATTTCTAAGAAATCATGTGACTTAAGCTAAATGACTAGTCAAGGTATAACTGCTGGGTATTTACAAAGTTATGTTTTCCGGGCCTAGAAAAAGAGAGACCAGAGGCAAATTCAGTTCAGAACAAAAGATCCATGCCAGCAGATGTGCTGTTTAGCAGCCTCAAAGTAATGGAGAAAAAGCGAGAGATTTTCTTTAGTGGAGAGTGAGAAGTCAGTGAGTTAGACTGTCTCTGTGTATCTTGGGAAGAGATAGATACGATCACAATTGGTGAATGTGAAGAAAGTTGCCGAAAGGAAAGATTTACAACCTCGTTGAGTAAGAAACTGAAGTTGAGTGAGTGTCTGAGTCAAAGGGTTGAATCTTTCTTTTTGCTGTTTATAATAGGATACTTCCAAATAGTCTTACATCACTATATATATATATATTGGCAGTCCCTCAGGAATATGTGCAGAGACTGACCACCAAGATAACCAAGTAGCAAAATAAAACTTAGAGTCTATCAAACCAGGTTGGATTCTGACTCGCCATCAGATGGATCATAACAACATGGCCTTAATTAACATCGCATCCAAAAATGTGCAGCTCCTACTCAAAACTGTGTTAAATATCAGCCTTGATTTTTGTTCTGAAATTCTAGAGTGGGATTGAAACTGGAAACTCCGGGCCAAAGGAGACAGTGCCAACAACCATAGTTGAATGACAACTTATAACTAAGGGTTAAACTACAATCTGCAACTGGGAATTAAACTATAGCCTGTAGTTGAGGCGTGGGGAGGAGAAACACAATAGTTTAAATACAGCCTACAACAGAAAAGAAGGTTAAACTCTGGAATGGCATTGACAGGAAAGAGAAAGTTAAACTACAGCCCGTCAGTAAGAACTAAATTATAGTCTGAAACTGAGAGTTAAACAATAACCATAACTGAGGATTACCTAGTCATGATCCAGAGTCAGATATTGTTTGTATATATCATCAATACCAGCCTCTTTCATTTCAAGTTTTCAAGTTTGTTTTCAAATTATAATAAACCAAGTTTGGAGAGAGCTCCTGACCTCTAAGGATCTTTACACTGTGTCTGTGAGTTGCTCACAGCCTGCCACAGGGACAGGGAGTGGAACAGAATGAGTTTGACAGCCATCTGTTCATTTATGGTGCTACATAAACTCCAACGGTGAGCAGTCTGTACCCAAACAGCTGTCTCTGAAAATATTTTTGTTTTGGCAGTATGCTACTGTGAAATTCAAAATGTTCTACACTCAGCCAGTCTCAGAATTAATGAAAGTTTGTGACTAGGAGTTATCAACGGCATGGGCTAAAGTTAGTTGACATGAGATGGGTGAGCACAGAGTGGGTACGCTAGGCTGGAACGTGCAGAGTGGGCATGCCAGGTAAGAGAATGCAGAATGGGCACACAAAGTAGGTGAAAATGAAGAGTACACATTGTGCGTGATATAGTGCAGAGTGAACTCCTCCACTGTCCTGAGTGATCCCTTTCCCTGGTTTAATGCATTGTCCTTCTGAACACTTTCAGGTGACACACTATCCTGTATGGTCCTCTTACCACAACTGTAAAATACCATTCTAGGCCATCCTGATCGTATAAATATTATGCATGTATGGTACATTCTTTGTGGCTCCTACTTTTATCCTGTTTTAAAGGGAAACATGCAAAGGTATAGTGCCTGCAGCCTTATACTAAAGGAACTGGGCTGCAAACACTGAGTTGGAAGCCTGTTCTAGGGGTTAGCATTAGCAACTCTTGAGGTCACACAATTTAGAGAATAGCATAGATATGGGTGATCCCAAGGGTTCACAGAGCTGGAGGAAAGCGTAACAGGGCATTTAGTAAAACTGCAATTCTCTCAATATCTTACTGACAACATTAAAATTTCTTCAGAAAAAGCATCTCTTCTCACCAATGAGATTTTTGTAACACCACAGATAGTGGCTGTCAAACTCGTTCTGTTACTTTCCCAGAACATTCCCTGAACATGCTGTGAGCAGCTCACACACAGCAATGGTCCAGAGAGGTCAAGACGAGGGTCCCTGTCAAAACACTGATAATCCAGAGGTCAGCGTCTCTGTCCAAACATGGTGTACTGATTACAAGAGGCTAGGATCTCTTCATATACACTGTAATGATCCAAAAAGGCCAAACACGACTTAATAAATAACTTACGTTTTTTTAATGCATTCAATCCAGCCTCTGCACCCTCAAGAATACTGGGAACTAAAGTATTGAGAAAATGCAACATACCAAAAGCTGCTGCCCTAAGACAACATTAGTAGTCCAAGTTTATACTTGTCACCTGCGGTATGATGTATTTTTGTTTTGCTTGCTTTTAAATCTAACTATAGTAAGGTGTCACTCACAGGGGTTAGCTCCAGCTATTCAGTTATTTGGGACTCGTGGATACGGCTGAGATGTTTCTGAATACAGTTTCATGGCCTGTATGAGAGTGATACTTCAACCAAGGCCCAATCTCATACATCAGCCTGGACTGTCACAATTTCTAAACAAGCAAGACAGGAATAATGATAGAGAAGTGATATGAAGAGATTGTTATATCAGTTTGTTAGGCCAGTTGTGTAGCATCCATGGATGCATGGACACGAGGTCAAAGAAATGTTAGATGACTTTGTATTTACTGGTTATTTCTTGCTAATGGGTGTTACCTAATATTTTGACTCATTCATGTTTAGACAAATCAGACATTCAACAGGTTCAAGTAATCACATAACTGAGTTACCAATCAATGTTTTTGCCTTGGATGTGTGATGCTTTGGATGTGTGAAGCTGCAGAAATATGTCAGACACAGAACTTGTAATTATACAGAAGCGCCAGCATGGCACCATCCTCCAACTAGGCTGGGACTTGTATGATTATATGGGGAAATAGGTCTAATCACATTGCTTATCAACTTATTATAATATGTAAGTAGCACATCTTTCATCAGGTCAATCAGGTTTCTTGTTGAGAATCAATTAAGTAGACATCATAAACAGTAATAACAGCTACAGGCTGCTGCAGTTACTGACAGGTCCCGTCTGCTTGCTCACTGATTAATGCTGCCAGGATCCTCATACTGCACCACAATGAATGATCTCTAATCAGATAAGAAAATAACAAATGAATCCATTCAGGATTCCAAATGTTCACAGGTTATGATATGGCAATTGAGTTTCACAAACAACAGAGTGAAAATAGCAGTCTGATAGCAGTATCAGCACATCCTCCAATGTATCATTCTTGGAATGTCGAGACTGAGATGGATTTACTACTGCTATCAATGATGCAAGACTTCCAGGCTACTGCTCAGGCTCAAAAAGAAAATGCCCACCGTGTGTAGTAATAAACTGAATTGGATAGGAAGATTCCCAGTTCAATCTCTGCCCCATTGAGTATCAACATCTTTGACTTGCGTGCTCATCATGTGGACCCCCATTCCACCAATTGCATGGACTTTTCACCAGGTGGAATCTTCACTGAGCCGTGGCTGTCTGATCAGAAAATGCAATGTAATTCCCCAGAGAAGAGCTGCGAAAAGTCTACCCATCTGAGGGAATATCACAGGCATGCAATCAACTACAGAGAGAAGAATTCCTGACAGACGGATGCTGCAACGCTAAAACAGATTCAGGTCAGAAGACAGAATCACCAACTATCAATGTGTAATTGCTTCTTACAGCAGTGGCTAAACAAGTGTTCCATCTCACCTCTACACCAACACCAAGATAGTTCACCATCAGCTGCAGAAGCTGCACTGCCAACACCATAAAGAGTAATTCATTTCAATGCTCCTAATTTAATTATGATCCTTTGCAGAGCAATATCTGCAGTAAAGTTTCAGTTGCTCCAGTTTCTGGTCAAACGATTAGGCTTAACTCACCATCGTCATGCACCTCACGTTCTCGGTTCCTTCGCCGATGTCGATCCCGCTCCCGCCTGATGCTCAAGATTGATTCTGCTCCTGTTTCATTGTCCAGTCCATCCCGACTACCAGCAGTGTTAGCACTGCAATAGACACAAAATACCAAACATCAACCATAAGAAACTAACAGACTGGATGTAATGAGGAAGACCCACATTGCACAAATCATGGCGAGGAGCTTATTTTGAGGTGTATATAGAATAACAGGTACTAGAAGTGAGTTAGAGGCTAGGACCTGATCAGGGGCCTTTCATCATGAAATATTAATTACTATAATTTAATCCCTCAGTGAGATTACAGCTTCCCCCCAGGCACAAAATGATGATGTTTGATGAGCACTTTGGCAAGATACCAGAGGTCACAGGTACTGGCTGACCAGCATCTTACCAATGAGTTATTATTTACTGAAGAGGCAGGGAGTATAGGGGAAAAAGATAAACACTGGCTCAACAGACTTCTATGAAAATCTAAAAGAAACTTGGTATTATATAGAACCTTTCATAACCTCAAGACACCCCAAAGCACTTTACAACCAATGAAGATCTTTTGAAATGTAGGAAAAGTAGCAACAAATTATGACAGCAGGGTCCCAAGAACAGTACTAGGATAATAATCAAAAAGTTGCTTTCAATGGTGCTGGTTGAGGAATAAATATTCCCAGGACACTGGGAATACCCTGTTCTTCTTTGTAATTGTGCCATGGGACCTTTCGCATCTGTCTGAAAGGATAGAGTTAAAAATTATAAGCTCATCAGAGACAGCCAACATGAACTTGTAAAAGGTTCCAATAAAAGGTCACAGATTTGAAATATTATACTTCAGATGCTGCTAAATCTGCTGAGATTTTCCAGCATTTTATGTTTTCATCATGAATTTGTAAAAGCAGGTCATGCTTGACAAATTTGATTAAGTTCTTTGAAGACATGACTAAAGTAGCAGACTTTAGATGTTAATTAGATTATCTTCCAGAAGGTCTTCAATAAGATTTAAGTTAAAGTTTAAGCTAATACAATTGATGTTGAGAATGGCTGGGTGGTAGTAGTCAAAGTAGCAATGACAGTAAATTCTCTCATTTGCAAAATATAACTAGTGATGTCTCAGAGATCAGAGCCCAAGTTTGGGCCTCAACTATTCAAGTTCTTTGCCAGCAGCTCAGTTAATGGGATAAAAAGGAACATATCCAAGTTTGCCAATGACCTAAAGAAGCATAATTAAGGAGCATATAATTACAACGATGTACTAACAAACATATGAATGGGCAAAGCTGTAGTGATTAGATTTCAAATAGGCATATGTGATATCATATATTTTGGACCCAAAAAAATTACGTTTTTATAAATGTTCTTTATAACTGGCGAAATGCTAGAAATGCCGGCAGTCCACAGATACCTAAAGATTGATGTACATAGACCATTCATATTTCACAGAGAGGTACAAGAATAATCAAATGGCTAAAAGAATGCTGGCTTTTGCATCTCAGGGCCAAAATACAAAAGGCTAGAGCTCATAGTAAAGCTATATAATGGTGTATTGTGGGCAGTCTGGGCACAGCACCTTAGCAAAGATTTATTGCAGTGCAGCAAAGAATGATACATGGACTCCAAGGGCTCTGTTTCCACTTATAAGTGAGTACACAATAAAGAAGGCTTTAAAGTTTAAACTAATGGGGGTTGAGGCAGATTTGTCGAATGAGGACAGAATATGTACACTTACAAAGCAAAAGAATATAGCGGCATTTGCAGCGTAACTATTTTGGTAACGAAACACAGATTGTAAAAACGGGGGAAAAAAAAACAGCAAGCAGGTTCAAAGAAGGAAGATATGGTAAAAAGGCAAGATTAACAACTGGTTCATTCCTCCTCTGCTCCCAACACTTCCCCACACCCAATGGCACCTTCCCATGCAATGGCAGAGGTGTAACACCTGCCCTTTTACATCCTCTCTCCTCACCACCTAAGACCCCAGACACACCTTCCAGGTGAAGGAGCAATTTACCTGCACTTCACTCAATCTAGCCTACTGTATTCACTGCTCACAATGTCATCTCCTCTACACTGGGGAGACAAAATGCAGGCTGGACGACCGCTTTGCAGAACACTTTTATTCTGTCTGCTAAAATGACCCCGAGCATGCAGTTGCCTGCCACATCAACACACCATTATGTTTCCTAGCTAACATCTCTGTCTTGGGCTTGCTGCAGTGTTTCAGCAAGGCTCAGCACAAGTTGGAAGAACAGCATCTCATTTTCCACTTGAGAACTCTGCAGCCTTCAGAACTCAATATTGACTTCAATAATTTTAGGGCCTGACCATCTTCTTTCATGTCCTTTACTTAACCTCGCATCCCAAGCTGTGTCATTACATAGGTTGCTCTAATCGCAACCAACGCATTTTCATCCACCAATGGTTCCCATTCAAAGCTTTTCTTTCTCCCTGGCTCACTACTCTCCAATCTTTTGTCTGTCCAACTTCTGTTCTCTCTCTATAGGCTCCATCTCCACCTTTCATTTACTTCCCCCTCCATCCACCCACTGTAGCTAGAAGAAAGCTGGGTGTATGCTGAAGACAATCAATTCTGAAGAAGAGTCACTAGAACCAAAATGTTGACTCTGCTTTCTGTCCACAGATGCTGCCAGACCTGCTAAGTCTCTCCACCAATTTCAGCTTCTGTTTCAGATTTCCAGCATTTTCAGTTGTTCATTTGTTTTTAAGATTAATGACTCTTTATTTAAATGTGCATAGTATCGGCGGGAAAAAAATTCAATTAATGGCACAAATAAATGTTGATATGTATGGTCTCATAGCCATTATGGAGACATGGGTACAAGGTGATCAAAACTGGAAACGAAATATTCAGAGTTTTATGACTTGTGGGTAGGATAGACAGGAAGGGAAGGGTGGTGAGTAGCTTTGTTGATAGGTAATGGAATAATTACAATAGCAAGAAATCTTAGATCACATGATATAGAATCCATATGGGTGAAGGTAGTCATTAACAAGCTGAAGATAACACTAATGGGAATAGTCTATATACCTCCTAATTGTAGCTGTTCTGTAGGACAGAGAAGAAAATAACATAATGAGGTAATGGAGAAAAGGCAGCACACTAATCATAGGTGACCTTAATCTTCATGTAGATTGGGAACATCAAATTAGACAGAATTAGCCACTGGGAAGAGTTTATTGAGTGTATTTGGGACAGTTTTCTGGAACAATATGTTATGTATCCACCAAGGAACAGACTACTTTGGATTTATTAACATGTAATAAGGCAGGTTTAATTTTTGGAAGAATGAGAGATGATTTTACTGAAATATATAATTGTCTGAGAGGGTGTGACAGGATTGAGCGATGGGTGGCCTGATACAATAAAAGAGGTGTCAAACACTTTCACATGCTTTTGGCCTATCAAGATAAGCTCAGTATTTCCAGAGGCATTATCTTCAGAGAAAAACAAGTACTTGTGCCTAAAGCTTTCTGCCAGGAGATTGTGCAGCAAGGACACATCGGCATAGAAAGACGAGATAACTAGCACTTGATACAGTATATTGGCCAGGGATTAATACTGAGATTGAAAAGTTAGTGAGAGTGTGAGGCATGCTCGAGCCACAGGCCACAGCAACAGAGAGAACCTCTACACTTACATAAGATTCCATCAGTCTAAAATCACCATTGATCTCCCTATCTTGAATGGCTATGACTTTAGTTACTGATTATTTCCAATTGTCATTTGGTGGAGAACACTTCAAGCATGTCCGTGGCAGAAATATTGAGAGCCATCTTCAGTCCATTCTATGCACCTGAGTTTCTGAAATGGGCCACAGTACCCAGGCAGAGCTTTCAGAGATGTGCACCAAATGGGGTCCGAGCCCGGTTACATTCTCATCACATTATCTCAAACCCAACAGTCCACCTGAGTGAAAACTTTACACTTTAAATCACTCATTTGAAGCGGAGGACAACGAAACAAGACTTTCATGTTGCCACATTACACTACACAGCTACACCTATTGATATGAGGTCACCATCACCAGCATGTTTGGAAAGCAAATGAGAATCACATTGCCAAGCCATCACTCATCCAAATTCTCCGAGATACATCACACTTCTTGACAAACAAGGGAGGATGAAGATGGTTCAAGACTAGCATCCATGTACAGGACTATGTCAAATAAACATAGGACAAAGTTCAGAGTCACAAATTCCACAACGGGAACATGGTTAACTGCAGTGTTCCGAAAGTGTGAAGTGAGCCCAGGTCTTATAAAGCCATGACACCTAATGAAGCAGTGCTGAGGAGGAACAGAATTGAGCTAAAGCAAGTGTACAATGCATCAATTGTGTGTAGGGAAAATTAAATAACACACCAAGACAACAACAGTGTAGTGGGACAACAGGGCAATAAATCAACATATTGATGACACATCTGTAAAACAACAGAAGGTAAACTAAAGGACAAAAACTCTAATTTCTAAAAGGTTACCCCATTACAAGATCTGGACAAGTCCAGTCATCAAACCACCAAAACAATGAATGGATTCTTCCTCAGTTCTGAGGAAGGGTTACTCAATCCAAAACGTTAACTTTGATTTCTCCCCACAGATGCTGCCAGACTGGCTGAGCTTTTCCAGCAATTTTTGTTTGTGCTGTGATTGGACTCCTAGAGTTCTGTACCTGTACATTTTCTTGTACCTATGTCTGTATAACATATTTTCAACTGTAGCATACAAGAGCTATCTTTAGGGGAAAAAGGGGGGATATTGTGTTATCACTTTTGGAGTGATATTGCTTTAACAGATCAAATATGTGAATGAGCCAAGTGCTCAGATGTTGTTACGTGACCAGAGTGTGTCTGTACTGTAGCATGAGGCACAGGCTGTGGCTGGAGATTACTCTGTACTGTTTACCTGAGAGTAAACCCACAAAGATCTTCAATTAAATGGAACCCGCATACCACATTTGTTATGCTTAGATAATACCAGATTATCATGAGGGAGGCAGACAGCAATATGAAGGGAAGATCACACTCAGTTAGCCATGATCTAACTGAATGTTGGATCATGCTCAAGACCAAATGATCTACT